TTAAATTATGTAAATGGAAAGACGTCAAAATTGGGTAGGAAGTGGGAGGGATGTACGCATGTCTATATTCTAGTGTTGGTTTGTAACCAAGGTCGAATTTGTAAAATCTATTATATATGTGGACAACCCCCACAAGATTTGTCTCACTTAGGATCAACTTGAGAAGATTTTAGAGTTCATGCGCTTGGGCATCGAATACTAAACTAGAAGATAAACTTTGCAATCGTGAGGAAAGACACTACAGCAAAACAAAACATATCATGAATATTTGCATGTGTGATTTTTACTTCTAGTCATATTTAATGTTAGTTAATCTTGTACTACTTATTTGTAGGGATGAATGTGGTGTACTCAATCAAGTTTATTGAATTCTTAAGCAATGGACGCTCGGAAGTCCTCGTTAACCATCATTACATGTTCAAATGGATGAAGTTAGCATGCGATTTTTATACACTAAACTATGTCTAGTAACGTTTTGTAAATCTACTTGTTAGGAATATTGGGCCTAACTCCACCTAATAAAACCGGCTTATTAGGGAAGGATTGTCCTCACCTTATTAAGTGGATCGTGTAAATATCACCAGTCAATGTGGGATTCTAATACGCTCCCTCACGCACAGCGTGGATCATGCCAAACAACTGTGAACAAATCGATATTGGTGCACCCAACATAGTGGATCATTTATATTTTTCCAAGCAATGTGTGATTCTAATACGCCCCCTCACGCACAGCGTGGACCATGCCAAACAACTATGAACAAATCGATATTGGGTGGCACCCAACATTGCATAAATGGGACTAACTCTGATACCATGTTAGGAATATTGGGCCTAACTCCACCTAATAAAACTGGCTTATTAGGGGAGGATTGCTCTCACCTTAATAAGTGGATCATTTATATTTTCCCAAACAATGTGAGATTCTAATACTACTTTGTAAATATGTTAGATCTTTATACATTGAATTAACTTATACATGTTTTTTCTTTAATTGTTTGATGGTTGATGTGTTACTTCTTTGATTCTTTGTAAAAGTCTGTAAAACATGACAACTAAAACGTATAATCACGGATTTAAACTATTAAAAAACAATAACTATTATAGTACATTAAATATTAAATATTACATACGATACTAGCGAGCGTGCCAGTTGCGTCGTACTTACCGTACTTTCTACTAGGGGGTAAACTCTCCAATGGATCGTATTATTATTGTAGATCTATGTCCAATACATTGTCGGATTAGATATGACAACAAAAAGTGACCTACTATGGTAGCAACTTCTAATTTCACTTAATTTGGAATGGAAAATATAGTTTCGGCATATGTATTTCCAAAAAAGAGTCGTTTAATAATGAGAGCACAATGTGTGAGCTAAAAACTTTTATGCATAGCGATGCCACTACATGCATACATGAAAAATTCTCCAATTAAAACTTTCCACACATGCAGGTCTTCAAATTCACAACATATCCTAAGTTGAGTCTACTCCTCATATCAAACTGAAACTGATCTAGGAGCTCAACATACACCTTTTTGCCATCTCGTGAGTCTTTATAATTTTTTATTTCTTCAGGGTTGGCGTGCTTGTACACATCTATGCATCTACTATAAAATCATTCTTGCAACTTGCTGTGAATGAGCTAGATTGTTGCAAGAATTGGTAACTCCAAATCTTTCTTAAATAGTAAATTCCATAACTTTGCTATGTTTAAATTGTCATTGGATGATGAAACTTATGCATTAATTGTCTTTCAATAAACGATGATCTTGTTTATTTGTGATCATCGAGACACTCACAAAGTACGTTCAAATGCATAACGATGAACTATGAAGAAATTAGCTATGTCGAACTTTATCACTTGCAAACGCCACTTGTAACTATGATCTACACAAATAATTGTGTAGGTAGTCTTGTTTGATTTCTTCAAATTGAATTCGAAATTGTATTTCAATGCAATAATGTGCACAACTTCTTGAAGTTTTTTCTGGTGTCAAACAATTGATTGACTTGCAAATCTTCCTCAACAAAAATCACATGTGAAGTACGATAAGATTGTGAATTGGTCCCACCTGAAATTTTCAATATGACTTGTATATATGTGTAGATAAAACAAAGAGACCCTGATTTGTAAATGTAATTCATCCTCATTGTCTTGCACGTTCTCAGGGAGACCCGTGTGCAACAATGATATCCTAGTTTGTATCATTTGTCTTCGAAATAAATACATCATTGTATTGAGCTATCTCTATGGGGTCCCAAATTCATCCACATATGGTACACTTCTTCACTCGCTTCATGTTCATTCTTAGAGATATCGTTCCTCGTAAGAGTTATGCAAAAAGGTAAAAGGTGTGTTCGCGTGAAACCCGCAAGCGTATGGGATCGTTGTACAAGTAATAAGATTTGTGAGTTAAGAGTATCGTTCCCACGAGGAATAAGGTCTAATTTGTAGTTCAATAGCTACTATTAAATTCGAAGTGTGGTAATATCAAAAAAAGATGATTGGTATGCAATCTTTAATAATCCTAAACTAACAAAACAAATGAAATATTTATTTATTATGTAAATGTTTGTATTGGA